AGTGTTAGGATTACAGGTGTTAGCAACCCCACCCTCCAGCCCTTCCCTTCTTAAATGGGAAGTGAAAATACTCTTCTGAATAAAAGTCTTGTCAGAAGTACGTGCAATGGCATGCCCAGGCCAAGTCCCATGATGCCATTTCTCAAGATGATGCTGAGTCAGAATATCAGGGTGCAAGATGGCCCCTGGGCAACCTAAACCTGGACACTTTCCTCATAATAAATGATTTCAGGGTGAGGTAGAACTAGGGTTGCAGAGAAAGTACGTGAAAGAATGAGAGCCCTGAGCTGGCTGGGCCTGAGAAATATCAAAATATTAACCATGGGCCAAGCATGATGGCTCACACCTATAATCCCAACACTTTGGGGAGGCTGTGGTGGGAGAGGCCAGGAGTTTGAAACCAGTCTGGACCATATAGTCAAACTCCAGCTCTACAAAAATAAAAAAATTAGCTAAGCATGGTGGTGCATGCCTGTAGTCTTAGCTACTCAGGAGGCTGAGCCCAGGAGTTGGAGGTTGCAGTGAGCTATGATCATGCCACAGCACTCCAGCCTGAGTGACAAAATGAGATTCTGTGTCTTAAAAAAATAAAAATTAACCATGATAATTTCTGGGAAATGAATTACAAAATATTTTTATTTTATTTTTTTCTTTTTATACTCAGAAAAAATGTTCTCAAAGTTGTTATAGGTTATTTCTTTCTTAGTAGCGAGCCAAATTTGGTGAAAATTCTTTAACTTTATCACAGAGTAAGCTATAAGAAGCATAGACAATCTCTTTTCATTACATTGACCAGGTAGACATGTACAATATAGACAGAAACAGTCAGAAAATAATGCTGTAATCATGTGTTCGTGAGGGATATATATTTTTATCCACTCTGTGTATAAACAAATACATTTAAAAAGTGGTATAGACTTTACATATAATTCAGAGAAAAAATAAAGAGGTATGAGTCATGGGACAGATTCTTACCGATTAAGCAAAAGACACGCAGTGTATATATGTGTGGACCCTAGACTTGGAAACCTGGAACAATTTACTGGCTCTTATATTTAGTAGCCATGTGACCCTGGGCAAGCTTTTCAACTTTCCCCTGTTTAGATTCCTCACCTATAAAATGGGGCAGGAGTTTCCTATACATCACTTGTGAATAGTTCGGCAATAAACATGTGCATGCAGGTATCCCTTTGATATACTGATTTCTTTTCCTTTGGATAAATATACAGTACTGGGATTTCTGTGTATGGTAGTTCTTTTAGCTTTTTGAGAAATCTCCATACTATTTTCCATAATAGTGTACTAATTTACATTAGTATAAGCATTTCCTTTTCTCTGTATCCTTATCTGCATCTATTACTTTTTGCCTTTTTAATTATAGCCATTCTAACTGGGGTAAGATGATTTCTTATTGTGTTTTTTTTTTTTTTTTTTTTGACAGAACCTCAAGCTGTCCCCCTAGGTAGAGTGCTGTGGCATCACAGCAACTTCCAACTCCTGGGCTCAAGCGAGTCTCCTGCCTCAGCCTCCCGAGTAGTTGGGACTACAGGCCCACCACAGTGCCCGGCTACTTTTTGGTTGCAGCCATCATTGTTGTTGGCAGGCCTGGGCTGGATTCGAACCCGCCACCTTGGGTGTATGTGGCTGGCGCCTTAGCCACATGAGACACAGGCGCTGAGCCTCATTGTGGTTTTGATGTGTATTTCTCTGATGATTAGAGATACTGAGCATTTTTGCCATATAGATGTTGGCCATTTGTATATCTTTTAATGAGAAATGCCTAGTCATGTGTTTTCCCCATTTTATATGGGATTATTATTATTTTTTTCTACTGTTCAGATGTTTGACTTCTTTGTATATTCTGAATATTAGTCCCAGGTTGGATGAATAGTTTACAAATATTTTCTCCCATTTTCTTTGGTGTGTTAATTGTTTCCTTTGCTGTGAAGAGCTTCTTAGTTTAATATACTTCCATGTATCTATTTTGATTTTGTTGCCTATGTTTTTGAGGTCATAGCCATAAAATCTTTACTTAGGCCAATGTCCTGAAGTGTTTTCCCTAAGTTTTCTTTGGGTAGTTTTGGATCTGACCTTTAAGTCTTTGATCCATTTTAAGTTGATTTTTGTATATAGTGAGAGATAGGGCTCTAGTTTCATTCCTTTGTACATGCATATACAATTTTTCTATTACCATTTATTGAAGAGGTTATCCTTTTCCCGATGTATGTTCTTGGTGACTATGCCAAAAATCAGTCAGCTGTAAACATATGAATTTATTTCTCGGTTCCCTATTCTGTTCTATTGGTCCATGTGTCTGTTTTTATGCAAATACCATACTGTTTTGGTTACTATAGTCTTGTAATATATTTTAAAGACATGTAGTTTGTTCTTTTTACTCAGCATTGTGTTGGCTATTCAGGCTCTTTTTTGGTTCCATACAAATTTTAGTATTTTTTTTCTATTTCTGTGAAAAAGGATGATGGTATTTTGATAGGGATTACATTGAATCTGCAGATTGTTTGAGGGTGGTATGATTATCTTAACAAGATTCCCCCAATCTGTGAGGGTGAGATGTTTTCCCATTTTTTATATCCTCTTTAATTCTTTTTACCAGTGTTCTGTGGTTTTCCTTGTAGAGATCTTTCACCTCCTTGGTTAAATTTATTCCTATGTTTTTTTTTTTTTTTTTTGGTAGTTCTTGTAAATGGGATTGACTCTCAATCTCTCTCTCTCTGTCTCTCTCATGAGCACGCACATACACTCTCTCTGTCTGTCTCTCTCCTCACTCTACTACCATTGGTTCTGTTTCTCTGGAGAAGCCTGATTGGTGTACAGTGCTCCTTACTCCAACAATAGGAACTAGTTTTCTTTCTTAGCTTTCCAAATACTGAAGCTCAGAATGATCTCTCCATTCCAAAATAATACCTTCATGTCCTGTTCCCCATCTCTCCCAGGAGTTACTAACTAAAATGTTAAATTAGTTCTTATGTACCCATAATAAAAAAAATTAAAAATGCTTGTGATACCTTGTTGATCAAAAAAAGCTATTCTCTAATAATGCAATATTCAGATCATGTGGTAGTCTATGGGATAAGACACTTAGGACATTTAACAAGCCTTTGAGTATTCCTCAGTTCCCCAAATAGATTTTTCTGCCCTATTACTCAGACCCTAAGCTCTTTTTCTGATGGCATTTTCTCTCTAGGACAGAGGTTGCAAACCTCTGAGCATGTTTAATTTTGCTTGTTTGATATTTTCAAATCTTTTCAGCCAGTATTTAGTAATTAGGAGATTTCATGTAAACATCTGTATTTCCATCTTCTCTGGCAATGGCAGGCTATGTTAAGGTGAGGAGGCATATGCTTTCTGGTGTGTTGCAGTCTCACCACTACCTATCTTGTTACACCAAGTCCTTTTCACTCATTTCATCATCTGCCTTGCCCTGGTGGGTAACTGAGTTCATCATCTTTGCTCTCAGGCCATACAACATTTCCTCTCAGGTGGAGGAATCATTAATACAAAGGCTCCATGAAACTTAGACAAACACTGGTGCCTCTTCTGGAAACTCACCTCCAGGCCAAGCAGACCATTTCATTGGAATATAGAATTTTTGTTTCTCAAGAAATGAAAGTTTTAATCAGGCCTGGCAGTGTTGATATGAAACTTTTTTTTTTTTAAATCATAGCTGTGTACTTTAATACAATTATGGGGTACAATGTGCTGGTTTTATCTATAATTTGAAATATTTTCATCAAACTGGTTAACATAGCCTTCATGGCATTTTCTTAGTTATTGTTTTAAGACATTTATATTCGACACTTAATAAATTTCACATGTACCCTTGTAAGATGCACTGTAGGTGTGGTCCCACCAATTACCCTCCCTCCTTTCTGAGTCAAGAAAATATCATTGCTGATTCAGAGAAGCTCAGTGTAATTGGACCTAAGGATGATCCTGCCCTAAGTTGCATTTGTTCCTTGCTTCTGTGCCTAGGACATGCACATAATGTGACAGGATGTATTTTCAAGAATGGCTTTCAGGTCAGGAGGGGGAGCTGAGAAGGATCTAGAAGCCAGTTTCATTCCTTTCAGTCATATTTTTGCTTATGACTGTGATGTCTTATGTGTGAGTGGTACACAGACTCTGGAATTTGAAGAAGGTTTTCTAGGGCTGTTTTCACATTGGTGCCTCTGGAATTTTGGTGCTCTGTTCAGCAGAATTCTAAAATGAACACTTCTGAATATTTCAAGCAACTGATACAAAGTTATTTAGAAACTTCTATGTTTTGCCTATGATAGTTTTGGTAAACTTAAACTCATGTGTCAAATCATATGATTTCTAGATTACAAAAAGAAAGCCGGCTTTTCTCAAGAAAGCTAGAAATACCCATTTTCTGACATGACTTGGCCTGTCTGACGCCAAAGCTCCAAAACTCCACATTTCCACAGGGTCCAAGCTTTTCACCCAACCAGCCTGAATGATTTCAGCAACCTGCTTGTGACCTCCATAGCATGTCTTTCCTTTTTCACAAATTCCAGCTATGAAGAGTTTTCTATCTGTCTAAAACTCCTCTTGCTTCACAGCCCCAACAATGTACTTCTCAATTATTGTTGCAAAAACATCAGTGGTTGATTTCAGTACAGTTGAGTACCTGCTTCTAGCTGTCAAAATTTGATCATGTTTCTAACGAAGTGAGGTCAGAGGTCCTGTGCAATATTGCCTAGAAATGTTCAAGAATACATCTGAGCAGAAGCCAGTATGATTATTCTGGGACTGTGCACATACAACAGACATCATCTTTGCTGTCTAAGAAAGGATTGGAGAAACACAAGGATTGAAGAACAAGCCTTAGCTGGAATGCCACTGAATAGGAACTTTCTGTATAAGTTGTAACTATTATTCAGTTGCTTTTTGTGTATTAAAAGAATCGTGGTTATTTCTTAATTCAAACGAAGAGAATAAAGGAGCTGCAAAAGTAAAGTAAAATCATGCTCACTCACGGCTGTATTTGCTTCCCTCTTTATTGTGGTGACAGGTCTTATTGTTGTGTCTGAAAAAGAAAAATCCCAGGATTAGAATAAAATTAATGAGAAAATTGTTCTGTTTGCAGGTTAAAATATGGAAGAACAAAAGAAAATCCAAATAAATCCACATGTAGGCCAGGCATAGTGATTCATGCCTATAATTCTAGCCCTTTGGGAGGCTGAGGTGGGAGGACTGCTTGAGATCAAGAGTTTGAGAACAGATTGGGCAACATAGTGAGATCCCATCCCTGTTAAAAAAAAAAAAAATTAGCTGGGTGTGGTGATGCATATTTGTAGTCCTAGCTGCTCAGGATGCTGAGGCAGGAGGATAGCTTAAACTCAGGAGTTTAAGGTTATAGTGAGCTATGATGGATCATGCTACTGTACTCTAGCCTAAACAACAGAAAGAGACCTATCTTTAAAAAAAAATCCACCTGTGCCCTGGGACCTCAGGCTTGCTAATGTATAATGTAAAAGCTGGTTCTTAGGTAAAGATTGTGAACAAAGAAGGCTCCTACTCTGATTCCTTTATCTGGCCCTGACCCCTACTCACTCCAAGGTTTCTAATTTGGGTATTCAATCCAAGAGATATCTGGCTCCAGAATTCTCCATCTCTTTTCTGTTTTAGCCTTGATGGCTACTTCCTCTTTGCCTACCCTGGCACAAAGCAGAAGATCAGGTCTATTAATCTGCACTAAAGCACGAATGACTGATACACTAGTTCAAAGTATCTCAGGGGGCAGAAGCAAAGATCACACTAGGCAATGTTGCTCAACACTAAGTTTCCTTGATTTCACTTCTTTGTTCTTAACTCCTGATTTCAAAACATGTTCCATGTACAGCCTCTGCTATTGCCTAGGTTCTTGAACTCAGGGTATCCTTAATTCTGCTTTATTGTGTACACTAGGTTTCAATAATTACCTCATGATCATCCTGACCTTGGCCTAGAATTTCAGCAGTGTAGTCTCCCCCAAGAGGGTTTGCATTTGGAAGGAGCCAGTGGGTTGCTCTCAAATGTTGGCTTTTCAGTGGAGGTTGCTTTAATGCCTAAGGTCAGCACTTCCATTCTCTGTGGGACTTAGGCAACCATAAACTAGTGTATTTGACCTTTGGTTTAAATTCCTGTGAAGTTCTGGCTTAGTCTTCAAAGTCTGGCTCTTGGTCCGATACTGGTAGGCAAACTGTTTGTTACCAGGTCATGATGAGGTAAGTATAGACATTGAGTATAAATGATTAAAAACTTTAGTAATTCTTTTACTATGTTATGCTTTTTTTTATTATATTTATTGAAATGTAAAATATTTTATTGAGTCTAATAAACATTATGTTTGTACTCTCCATTACATTTTTTTAGTGATTCTTGATAGTGTGCTTTATAAAATTATTGATCCCAACATATTGGAAATTTAAAAAACAAACAAAAAACTAAACAGACAAACAAACTGATCCTTTACCACAATGTTTGAGAAATGCTGTTCCTATCTAGAGATCTAGGTATTAGAGCTGGTGATTCCTACTAAATTCTAACTAGGCTTTACCATTGGTCTAGGCAGTCAATGAATAAGTCAACCCCTTTTGGGTTGAGATTTGTTTTCTTGTTCCATTGCCCAATGATAATATTATTTAGATCAAGCCAATTTTTATCAAGCATTTTTCCAACAAAAAGGCCACAAGTTTTCGAGTCAGACAGATCTGTATTCAAATCCCAACTGTTGGTTCAGCGCCTATGGCTCAAGTGGCTAAGGCACCAGCCACATACACCTAAGGTGGCGGGTTTAAATCCAGCCTGGGCCTGCCAAACAACAATGACGGCTGCAACCAAAAAATAGCCAGATGTTGTGACAGGCGCCTATGGTCTCAGCTACTTGGGAGGCTGAGGCAGGAGACTCGCTTGAGCCCAGGAGTTGGAGGTTGCTGTGAGCTGTGATACCACAGCACTCTACCCAGGGGGATAGCCTGAGGCTCTGTCTCAAAAATAAACAAACAAACAAATCCCAACTGTCTGACTTTGGAAAGTCATGTAGCTTTTCTGAGCCTCAGTTTCTTCATCTACAAAACAAAGCCACCATTCTCTCCCTAAAGCAATTTTGTGAAATTACATAAAAAGAAGTTTATGAAGTGTCTAGAACAGTGATTTTCAATAGACTTTCTGCAATGATGGAAATATTGTATATCTGTACTGTCCAATATAGCAGACATTAGCTTCATGTGGCTATGGAGCACTTATAATATGTGAGCCCCTAGATTGTGACTGATGAATTGAATTTTTATTTCATTTAAATTTAAATAGCCACAGATAGCTATTATAAATCAAACAGGACAAGACTAGTGTACACCCTTGCATATAGTAGACTTGATGCTTAAAAGTTTACTGAACATCTATTATATGCCAGGTAATGTTTTTGGCATTGCACATACGTTGGTGAATAAGGGAAACACATTCCTTGTATTTATAAAACTTAAGGACTGTCAGATAAAGCAGAATTTGACATAATTTTTACAATAGAAGTTGTCAACTTCTCTCTGGAACTTAGCAGGTCACAACATATGTGCAATGCCAAAAACATTACCTGGCATGTATTAGAGCCCTGAACTGTAGCATAGTTCCTTTAAGGGGAAAAAGGTAAATAGATGGTAAATAGGACCCTTTTTGGACCAACAGTGGCTCTCCTCTCAATACACCTTACTGTGCAGAGCTAGTCACATAGGCGGGAAAATGTGTTTAGAAGCCAAGGAGATTTGTGGAATGAAAGGGACCTAACCTGCTACCTATTTACTTGACTCTCCAATAGTGTAAGAAATTCGAGGACAACAGAGGCCTTAAGAGGAACTTTGGAGAAGCAAGTTAGGACTGGTGTCCCAGGTTCAACATAAGAGCCTAGAGTGGAAGAAGCTGGCTGCTAAGGAAGCCCTTCCTGTCTCTTCAGCCCATTAGGGTTCTGTTTTGGGACCAATTCAGCATATGAGGGGAAGGCATAAGAGCTGTAATCTTATATCACTGTGGGGCTGTGGATCTGCACCAGTAAGGGTATCTTTGTGTAGTGATGGAGATAACTGGAAGGAACAGAGATTTTGCATGGCAGGAGCAGAAACAGCAACATCTCAAAACCAGGGCCTCTAGTAGACTAACCTAGCTCCCCAGTAACACCTGAAAGTCTGTGGGAGGTAAGGAAGTACATGTTGCAAGAGGGAGACATTAAACTTCTTGCTCAGATGGGCAGGTAGGTGCTTGAAGAATTAACTGGAAAATTAAAAGGGATACAATTGCATTTGTAGCCCAATCTATTAAAACAGACCCTTAATGTGTAATTGTGTGCTGAGTGTACTGAAAGGAGAAGTAGGCACTACAGAAGCATCTAATAGGGAATTTTATGTATGGTTTGGTGAGGTGGGTGGAGTCAGAGCAGGCTAGATGTGGTACACCTTAGCTGAGATTTAAAGGATGACTCCAACTCAGGTGGACAAGAAGGAAACATTTTAAGAAGAGAGAATACTATGTGAGAAAACTTCCAGGAAACTGGAAGAGTTGGTAGCCTCTGAAGACTAGAAAATCCTGGATAGCCAGAGTTTGGACAAGGAAGGTGAGGGTGATACAATAAAAGGTACAGACATGTCAAAACTCTCAGGACTTGTTGGAACTTCATCTAATGAGCAATGGGAAGCCACAGAAGAGGTCTGAACAGAGGAGAAAAGGTATATTTGTGATTTTAAAAGCCTCTTTAGCTAAAAATGAAAAGAGATCATATTGGCTGTGGCAGGAATAGGAAGATCCAACTGTAGTGCAGTTTCGACTACAGTAGTGGCATTGAAGTTGGGCCAATAATCTGTAAAATGTTCATTCTATTGCTTCTTCCAATTTTACAAATAGAAAGACCATCTCTATTTTACAAATAGAAAAAGTTAGGTAATTCATAAATGGTCATAGAGTCAATAAATGGCAGCATGGGGCCCAGACCCATCATCAGAGGTTTAAAGCTCTAGTCACAGTGCCAGCAGTTCTCAACCCTTCTCCATGGCTGACACATTTTATGGTAGAGGGATATAGAAGTTATGACTAAAAATGTAAGATAACAAACACCTAAAATTCCCCTAGTCTTCAAATAGTGTTGCCCCAAACTCCTATTGAATTATTCTCACATGTCATTTCCTTTTCTACAGACAAGGCCATGTATAGACATTTGGAGACATTTGTTGCTGTCAAAGGGGTGGTTTAGGAAAGCACCAGATAGGTCTGCACACATCCTGTGGGGTCTGTGGGCGGCTCCTACCAGGAAACCAAGGACAGACCCAGGAGCAATTGAGTCCTCTTGTCCAGTGTTAAGAGGCTGCAGGCAGGCTCTTTCCTAGCTGGCACAATAGGACAGGACTGGGTTGTGAGAACGGAACAGGCTAAGGAGAAGCTCCAGAGGAGCTGCTAAAAGACCCCAGGGCACTACTGACCACCTGCTTTTTTCATCCCCATGCGGCTTCACAAATCTTTCTCCTTTGTTTACCTAACCAAGAGATTCGGATTCCTGGGAGACAGGGGTAGGTTTAAACAAGCTAATACCCAGAATGGGAAAAAGGCAGGAGAACTGAAGTAATCCTCGGAAAGCATCCGGGCAACCCCCCTCCAGCAAAGCCTGGCAATATGTCTAGTGCCAAAAGAGTATCATTTTCACGAGGCAGATGAAAAGTTCTTGGCTCAACGAGCAAGGTAAACTCTCTTAGACACAGAAACAAAACATTCCCTTTAAAAAAATTCAGTGGAAGGAGTTTGGCTTACTGAAGACCACAACCATTTTCTTCTGGGGGAAAAAATCATCAGGACAAGATCAAAGTGTCCATAAGCCGTGGGTGGATTTAGGGTGAAGCTGGGAAGGGAAGGCCTCTGGGGCAAAGGAGGGGCTCGTGCTGCAGATACCCAGTCCATTTGGTTACCATGAATAAAATTAACTCACTTACCTTTCCCAGAATACAGCTTATGGCAGAGCCGTTTTCTTAGGACTATCATTGTGGTTATGAAAATTAAAGCAATAGTGCAGGAAGGGATGAGAATGTGAAGCAGCGAAGTTGTAGGGAGCTTGGGTTCTATCCAACCTGGGTGAAGGAAAAGCACAAGAATCCCATTACATGGCAGCGTAGAGGTAGACCAACAAGTTGGCCATATGAGCGGGTCATAACCACCATGGTCAGTTGTGTTGGGTATTTGCTCCATGACAGGCACTATTTTAAGTGCTTGGCCCCTGTTAGCTCCTCTACTTCTCACAGCAACCCTGTGATGTAGGCTTTACTATTGTCTCCATTTTATTGGTGAAGAAAGTGAGGGACAGAGAGGCTAGTAACTTTCCCAAAATTAGATAGTAAGTGACTTAGCTGAGATTCAGGATGTCTGGTTCCAGATTCTGGCCATTTGCCACTCCAATATGTCTATCATATTCTCCTTTTATCTATCTATCGATCTATCTATCTATCTATCAATCATCTATCTATCTATTAACATTTCTTTCTTTTTCTTCTTCTTCCTTCCCCTTCCTCTTTCTTTCCAGGAAAGATCCCTCAGGCCATAAATGTCTTTCCTCTACTGACAAGCACTCTCGGTGCTATTAGTTATGTCATTAGTTATTCAATTTCAAGGATTAACAGGATCCTTTTGAAAAAATTGAATATCCTAAGTAATGTTAAGAAACAGAATCCCGTCTTTCACATCTTAGTGGGAATTACTACAACGATCCTTTGCCTTGTCTCAGCTGATCAAGGTGTTGGCACTGAGGAAAAGGTGAATTTATTAGAGATATGGATGAGAAGAATAACTATGCAGGCTGGGGAAAACCTTGTTAATGGAGAGCTCTGGATATCTGCAGGTTAGAACAAGGGCTCCAGCCTGACAAAGGGCAGGGCTCTAGGGGTGTTCACAATAGGAAGATGAAAGGGTACCCAAGTTAAGTTGTGCCCTTTTTCAAAAGCTTGAGTTTTGACTCATGAAGTCACTCATATGCCACAAACATAATAGGCTGGTTCAGGAAAAACTGGACAGAACTGCTCAGGAGGAAGGGCTCAGTCCTGCCAACCACCTCCCTTCCCCCACATGGTGCCATTTAAGAACCTTAGATTGTTTTATCTGAGAAGGGATTAGATATCATTTAGTCTGAGTCTCTCCTTTATGGTTGAGGAAGTCAGGCTCAGAGATGCTAAATAATCTGTCTAAGATAACCACCATTAAGGAAGTGGCAGAACAAGGGTTGCACACCCTAGATCTTTCTAACTCAAAGTTCAGTACTCACATATATTTGTCTCTGTCCAGAGAGTATGATGAGCATTAAGGAAGAAAAGGATAAGGAGCCTGGCTCATCTACACCCTAGATAACTTATATTGATTATAATCTATGTCTTCACTTCTAGCAAGTGCTTATTAAACACTCGCTTATAGCTCTATGAGTCAAGGAGCAGTGGGCTTCTCACTGTTGCCCCCAACAGGAGGGGTCTCCACCTCAGTGCCTTGTTCAAACTCTTGTCCTGTGCAGATTCCCCCTCAGTTCCTTCCACATGCAGAAGGTCTACTTATTCCTGAAGACTTTCCAAAGTTTAACATCCAACAGGTCATTAATCTGCCTGGATGTATTTGAAGGGCAAAAGCTTTATCTAAGTCACCTCTAAATCCTCTCTAGAGCCAAGCACCAGTTATATGAAAAATATCAACAAAGATTTGTTGGACTGAATTGTCTGTCTCTCTAGTCCACCTAGCCTGATCTTCCTAGTCATTAGTTACCTTGTGGTAAATTGCTGGTTACTCCTTTAACTCGTTGTCTCTTTCTTTCCTAGTATTAGGTTATTAGTTGGACACATGGATTCTCAGAGACTGCATTTCCAAGCCTCCCTGCAGTTAGGTGTGCCTAGCCATATAGACTAAGTTCCAGCCAACAGAATGGACATTCTGGGTCTTGGCCTTAAAACAGTGACTGTGTTTTCCACCACTCTTTTTTCTTTTTGAGGACTGAAACATAGATTTGGCCATGAGCTAGCTTTGACAATTTAACAACACCTTGGAGAATGGTAGAGCAACAATATGGAAAGAATTTGGATCACAGAATGACTTTATGGAAGCTAACTATACTTCTGTCTTATTTGGGGTTGCTGTATTTTGGAGTCTCTTAATTATGGTAGCTTAGCCATAATTATTTTATAATAATTGTATATATATATATATATATATATTTGTTTTGTTTTGTTTTTGAGACAGAGTCATTCTGTCACCCTAGGTAGAGTGCTGTGGTGTCATTGTAGCTCACAGTAACCTCAAACTCCTGGGTTCAAACAATTCTCTTGCCTTAGCCTCTTGAGTAGCTAAGACTATAGGTGCCTGCCACCACACCTGGCTAGTTTTTTCTATTTTTAGTAGAGATGGGGGTGGGGGGTCTCACTCTGGCTTATCCTGGTCTTGAACTCCTGAGCTAAAGTGATCCTTCTACTTGGGCCTCCCAGAGTGCTTGGATTACAGGTGTGGGCCACTGTGCTCAGCCTAATAATTGCATATTCTTTAACAATGATATAATGACACAGTAGTAAAAAATGATTGCCTTGTCTTTACCAAATCCCATCCACTCACAAGGAAGCCATGAATCTTGCTAGAGGTGCCATATTTTTTTCCTGTTGCTATATCTTCTGAGTGCTCAGCACTTTCCAACCATATTTCATTTAATCCTCACAATAACCCTATGAGGTATCTACCATTATTTACCCTCATTCTACACAAGTCTGTTTGGCTCCAGAGGCAAGAGCCAATGCTCTTGACCACTGCTTAGAGTCACCTCCAGGGTTTCTCTTTCCTGACAGCCCCACAAGAATCTTTTTATAGAGTTTTTGTGCTTCATTCCCGTTACCTTTCCTAATGAAAATATAACAACTGGAGAGAAGAAGAAACCCTGTTTCAAAAGGAAAATGATCTCCTCGCTCCTAAACTTCTGCCTGAAAATTAAGATGTTCAGTCATTTATTCTGGAGTCACTGGAGTCACTCTCCACCCTCCATATTCTCATTTCTGTGTTTGTTTTGTTTATTCATCAAGTTCTAGAGAAGCTTGATTTGTTTGTTCATCAAGTTCTGGAGAAGCTTGTGGTGGTTCACAGCAGTCAGCAGGTCAATTTATGAGAATGAGAAGAAAAGAGAACAGTCATAAGACAACTTAAAAATGCCTCTGAGAAATAAAAGCAAGGAACCTATGAGAGGATGTGTAACTTCGGTGATTTTTGTTGCTGGTATTTGTGCCACAAACCCAGATATCATTTGGCTGCTCTGATCTGGCTGTTTACACAGTCTGGCAACTGGGATGATGGGACTGAGATTATCTAAGATGAAGTCTTCAGCTACCAATCTGACATTTATTGAGCTCCTACTATGCACAAAGCATTCTGCTTTTGCTTTAGTGTGAATACCAAGAAGACTTGTGTGAACAGTAAAAACACATGGAAAGTAGAATAGCAGTAAATGAGAAAAGACAGATGTAGTCACAAGTCAAATGAACAAATGGTACAGGTAATAGATCTTAAGAGACAAGACAAGAGAAAGACCCTTTTGTAGACTGGAGTTCCCTAAGCTGCCCTGGGGAGAGGGTGGGCTTGGAGCTGTTAGAGAGGGGGAACGATGAGATTCTTGCAGAAAAAAAACTGAGCAAAAAAGGCATGCAAGTGGGAAAGGTAGAAGGAAGTTCAGAGAGTATTTGGTGAGGAACGGGCACTTAATTGAGCAGAGGATCCATGCCAGGGAATAGGATGATGAATATAAAGCTGGAAAAGATGGAAAAAAACAGGTGGAGAATCTCCAGCTATACAAAAATGTCTCTGTCTTTCTGCTGGACACACTTATGGGTGGTACCCTAGGAGATCTAAGATCTGATGAAGACCCCATAGGCCCTTCCCTTGTTTGTTAACTATTTAGTCAGTCATATTGGCTCCCATGGAGAGAGAGGCCAGTTTACTCTGTTGTTAACTTCTCATAGCATAAAGGCTGCCCGAGCAATGATCAGTCTGCATTTCCACTTTTCTACCATGCCCCCCAAACCACTGAAGTAATTGATGGTGCCAAAGGCAGACTCTAGTTATCTCTGAATCCATCTTACACAGGCCTTTATTTCCCTGCAGTGGTTCTTATAGTATAAGTGTTCTTCGGGAAAACCACAAACTATATTTCACCCAAAGTATGGGCCTATACTTAACCAGGCATGAAATTCCACATAACAAAAGATAGTTGAGTAAACCATCCTAGGGGGAAAATTTCCTGTGGGATTGTTAATATTTAATCCTGTAAAGCTTCAGTATGAATTAATTATAACATATTTTTTGTGGGATGACAAGTCTGGTGATCTCAACTGTGATACAAAAAGAGTTTGATAATGTTAAAAGACCAACTTGCCTAATTCATTTTTTCACCCAAAGTTGTCTCTAAAATGCCTTTATTTCTATCAAGTTTCTCATATGTCTCCTCTCTTATGTCCTCACTTTATCATGATAATTTAGTTAGAAAGAAGCTGGGCTCACTTTAATATTGAAATTGGGCAGTGAAGTGTGGTTAGATGGGGACGTAGGAAGAGGGCAGGGATGACAATGCATCGAGCTGCCTCTGAAAATTATACCTGGGGGATTTTTTCCATAAGAAAATACTAAGAAAGGAATGATGAAATGGGTATTTAGTCACTTCAAAGTTCTCGAAATATGGTCTGTGGATCGTCAGTGCCCAAGCGTGAAAAAATTTCTTTTAATTTGGATGGAGTAGATCTTGTACCCTGTCTGCCTCACCCCTGGTTTCAGCCATAGCTGAATATGGCTGATGGTGATGGGGCTATGTGGGGCCTTACTCTCCCCAGTGACAATCTCACCTCAAGTATGTTCTGTTTCAGTGCCAGGGCTCCCCAAGTGCTGAAGGTTGGCCCTTCTTAACCCTACTTCCAATGACCCACTTACAGAATTTTTGCTTCTCATCTGCACACGTTTAGGTTCTCCTAGATCAAAGGTCTGACTTCTTATGGGGAATTGTCCTACCAGGGGATACTGTACTTGTTCTAATGTATCCACAGTTATAGCTACTGCATGGTCAGCTTGAACTCTTCACACAGGCAGATCAGTAGGCAAACAACAGAACTGCATGCTGGTGGAGTAATTAATCTTGATAACTGTGAAGGTCTTGAATGCTGCTACATAATGGAGGCAATGAAGACTATGTCTGGAACTTAGGGATCAACTGATTCACTGGCTGTTTTTACTTCCACCTCCAGTGATAATGAAAAGATATTTGCAGCAACTCTACTCTGCTGAGGGCAAGGTGACCAAGGGCTCAGGTCTCTCAGGGCTGAAAGTCTGGATCACCCTATCAGGTAAAGAAACGATTCCATCTGGGTGCAGGAAACATAGAATGTGGGGTGGATAAGAGAAATGACAATATCAGTCCTGGCTTGGGGTCAATGGCAGCAGTGGGCACTGCAGCTTGTTCCACAAACTTTTCTTTTGTAGAGATTGTGGCTGTCTCTCAGCTGGAGGCTGAGTGACAGAGTGGGCTCAATGTGGGGCATGAAAGGAGATGAGCAGTATAAATGGGGAAGTGCATTCCTGCCTCACTTCCTGTCAGCCTGAGCCCTGATTTCAGCCATCTGGGGTTAGAATTCTGGATGGGCTTCCGCACACTGCAAGGTAAGTAATTCACCTCAGTGGGTACTTTGCTTTCTGCCCTGGGACTTTTCTGATGATAGAAATGTGGGAGCTCATTCAGTGCACATACATGCCTAGCTCAGCAGCAGAAGGGGTTCACACTCCTGAGGGACTTCTGTCAGTCAATGAGGGTGAAAGCAGATGGATAAGTCCTTCCACCTGAAGTTCTTTGAGTAAACATCTTAGAGGCATCTACATACTTCTCATGTGGTCCTTGAATATTTGAATTCCTGTTGTCCATACCAACAACTTTGATCACATACCTTTATATTTGGTTTTCTTTCTTTCCTGTCTTAAACTCCTAAATCTCATTTCTGCCCCCTGGGGTCACTATCTAGATAACTACATGCTACACAAGTTCATATCACAGGTTCTGTCTTGACTAGCTAAGGACAAAATGTGGAATACAATGACAACATAGTGGATTTTCTATAAAGCCAACTTTAATCAGTACTAGGGACTATCCTTTATTCTGTGGCAAAATAATGGATCCCCTTAAAGGTGTTCATATACTAATTTCTGGAAACTGTGAATATGTTACCTTACCTGGCAAAAAAAGTTTTTGCAGACATATAAAATTAAACCCTTGAAATGGGAAAATCATCCTGAATTATCCAGGGAAGAAGGATATTTCATGTAATCACAAGCATTCTTAAAAGGTGGAAGAGAAAAGCAAAAAAGTTAGAGAAAGATGTGGTGACAGAAGCAGAGGCTCTGAAGACACAGGAAGGGGCCATGAGCCAAGCAATGCAGGTGGCTACTTGGACCTGGAAAGGGCAAGAAAATGGAATCTCCCCTAGCATTTCTGCAATCCCTCTGACACCTTGATTTGAGCCCAGTGAAACCCATGTTTGGTCTTCCAGCTTTCATAAGTATAAGATAATAAACTTGTGTTGTCAAACTGTGAAGTTTGTGGTAATTTTATATAGGAACAATAGAAAACTTATATACTTGGTGATAAAATCACTGTCTCTTATTAAATGATTGTGATACTAGGCATTAGTTGTTCCTATATAGCAAATAAGTGGTCTTACTTAGCAAATAAGAAATTGCTTATCTCCCAAGATTGTTTGAAATTTTTCTGGTGTATGAAATTCAAAAGTATGAGATCCCTTCCAAAAATATCCAGCATAGCCAGTTATGACTCTGTAGGATTTTTGAAAGAGACCAACTTTCTTGGAAATACCCTTAACCAGCTGACTGGGAGTGAAGGCAGCAAAATCCTACTCATCCTGCTCACTCATGGTGCTATGCATGAGTCACAGCGGCTGCATTATTTTCTATTTTCTCTACAGATCCTTGTAGTTTCTCTAAATGCTGATCACATCTTCACAAATACTCTTTGTATTATACTCTCCTGAAAGTACTCATTTTTAATGTGCCATCTGTTTCTTGCTTGAACCCTGACTAAAAGATGTAAGAAGTAGGGGCAGCTCTTACTTTCAGGGTCAAAAACAGCTGAAGTGGCATTCATATTAGCATTCCAGAACACACAACTGAAGTTTCTTCCAGGATGGGGCTTTAGGCGCAGAACACTGGTGACCTGGTAGAGGCCTTCAGGGATCTTGATGTGGCTGGTGTTGGCAGGAATGCTGATGTTTGGCCAGGATGCTTCTGCCAGGGGGTAACCTTCAGCCTGGCAGATGAGCTCTACCTCATCTGTCCCTGGGACCTTTAGGACGTGAGTGTTTATTTTCTTGTAGGAAGCTGGACAATAGAAAAAGAAAAAGAAATAAGTCTTTGTTTTCTGGCTCCTATAGAGCTCTGGACTTAATGCCATGAGAAATGGATAGAATTTTCACTATCAATTTTAAGTAACAATGGTTATCATTTTAAACACATTTTATGTCTTTTACATACATTGAATGATTTAATTCAATACAACAAACATGGCATTGTTGATAATCTTAATTTTGTTGGGGGTAACAAAAGGTAAAAAGGTTGAATATCTCAGTCAGGGTCAAATAGCTTATAACTGGTACAGGCCAATATTTGAACATTGGAACTCTGATTCTAGATCTCAGCAGCATTCTGAGCTATCACACTTGGTGGCTTCCTGTAGAGTTTTCAATTATCTACTAATTGAGGGCTGGAAAAAAGATGGATAAATAAAATCACTGGATAATCCTCATATCATTTTTTTCAGTACTTTTCCAAACATCTTTAGTTGAAAATTTACTTTCTACTTCCTTTTTTCCTCTGTTCTCTTTGAGATTAGGAGGATAAAAATAAAGACCTATACAATGTCTATAAACAGACAAGAGTTTCATAAGTACAAGTGTACTTATTATGTATTTCTCTGAAACAGACACACTCACACACACACACAAAGAGTTTATGCACACACATACTTCTTTGCAGTGTATGCTGAGTAACTTAATCAGAAATGGCTCCTTGCCCTTTAGAGAGCTAAAATATATAAGAGTATGTAGCCAATTTGGAAAATAATATAAGGGTTTTTCAAAAAACTAAAAATAGAATTACCATATGATTCAGCAATCCTGATTCTGGGTATATATCCAAAGAGATTGAGAAGAGTATGTAGAAGAGATATCTGCTCTCCCATGTTCATTTAAGCATTACTTACAACAGCCAAGATACAGAATCTGTCTAAGTGTCCATTAGTGTATGAACAGATAAATAAAATGTGGCATATGTACACAATAGAATACAAGGTTTAAAAAAAAGGAAATTTTGTCATTCTTTATAACATGAATGAAACTGGAGGATATTATGCTAAATGAAATCAGGCAGCCACAAGAAGACAACTGCTATATGATCTTACCTATACGTGTGATCTAAAAAAGCCGATCTCATAGAAACTGTAGAAAGGTGGCTACCACAGGCAGAGGTGCGGACGGATGGAGAAGGGAAGATGTTGATCAAAGGGTACAAAGTCTCGGACAGGAGACACACAATTATTTGTCAATTAAAAAATAAAAACATTACAAAAAATTAAAATAAGATATAAAATAATAATTCTACCAAAAGCTTAAAAAATAAATAAAATAAACAAGGGTGATACTGAGAGGGACAGGAAGACTCAAAACAAACTGCCCATAATCTTAGATAATATCCTGAAACAAATAAGTATTAACACCATTTGCAGTTGTCAGGGAGCATGGAAAGTAACCCACTGATTTTTGACAAGGGGAAGCGGGAATGAATGGAGAATACTCTTTTAAGAAATGGAGTTTCAATACAATCTTTGAAGTAAAGGTAATCCTAAAGTAAAGGCATAGGTGTGATGGAATAATTCCTTTCTCTTAAGTTGCTGGGTAAATGCATACAAACTTTGTGAAAAGTGATTTCATATTAAAATAACAACCACAAACAACAACAAACCCGGGCTCTCAGATTAAGATAATGCAGAATGTAGAAAATACCTACTATGTATGATTTATTTATTGTTTTCTATGTGTTGAGCTTCATGCCATGTCCTTTTACATATTATGGAGGAGGAAGGTTGTTCCTGCCCCTCTCCACAATTTTGCCCCTCTGTGCACCTCTTTTGCTGTGTGTCTCTATGTTATAATTTGCCAGTTTGATTAGTTATAGCCAAACACACCCACTGGATCGGATTTCCTTCCCAGCAGGAAGCAGGGTAACTGCATATTGACTATCACCTGTGGATACTTTGGCCCTCCCTGAATTCCTCATCTTTGTGTGCTTAAGCATACCCTGGCTGGGCCTGGTGGTGTGTCCCCAAAATCTGATGTCTTTCTAGCTCATAGTGTTCCAACTTCTGCCTCTGACTGAGCCGGAGGGGCAGATTTCTTATCCATAAGGTGGAATGGATCAATGAGTTTACAATCTAATCTGCAAATCCAGGTTTTCAGATTAAGATGACAGAGCAAGAAACAAGAGGCTTCATATTCTACGTCACCTTCTCCAGCAACACTATCAGAGAAGCACCCAAAAAGAGAAGGGGAAATCATGTGCTCATCCAGCTATTAATGTAAAACACAGTGTCCCTTTCCCATTTGGCTATTCATTCTTATATATATAGCTGCTTAGTCAAGGAATCAGAAAGGAGGTCTGAAACCTGTAAATGGCTCTAAAACTGACCCCAGCTCTTTAATGTATATACATAATGTATCTAATATGTTATCTCATTTAAACCACAAAAAGACCCTATGAGGTAGGTAAAATTCACATTCCTATTCTATAAATAGGGAAATAGCAGGGATCTGGGATAGGTGAGGGTCTTGAACCTATGCTCTTTGTGCTTCAGTATTCTGCATTCTTCAATGGAATTACCATGAGAAGATGATTCTTTTTTTTGAGACAGAGCCTCAAGCTATCCCCCTGGGCAGAGTGCCGTGGCACCACAGCTCACAGCAACCTCCAACTCCTGGGCTCAAGCGAGTCTCCTGCCTCAGCCTCCTAAGTAGCTGGGACTACAGGAGCCTGCCACAATGCCTGGCTATTTTTTTTTTTTTTTGGTTGCAGCCGTCATTGTTGTTTGGCGGCCTGGGCTGGATTTGAACCCACCACCTTAGGTGTATGTGGCTGGCACCTTAGCCACTTGAGCCACAGGCGCCGAGCCGAGAAGATGATTTTTTATGCAACTGCAGAAGTCTGGGGTTAGAGTGACATAAACAGAAAGAAGAATATGTTCTCCTGGAGGGCTTAGAAGCTCCTAGAACAGTGGTTCTCAACTTTCCTAATGCTGCGGCCCTTTAATACAGTTTCTGTGGGTCAGACCCACAGGTTGAGAACCACTTTCCTAGAACCAGTAGGTAAGGAGAATCAGGTTCTGAAGCAGTAAACTTACGGTAAACTTGACCTGGTTAGACTAACCAATCTCCTTGCAGCCAAATTTTGGGTTATCTCTGGCAATTAAGCAGCATCTGAAGTGTACATTTTGATTACTCACTTTCTCTCTTACGTTATTTCTTTATACTTTTTCTCCTTGGTTCAATATCCTCTTATAGTCATTTAATTCTATCATATTGTAGATTATTTCTTCAAGCTTTCAGTCCTTTAGGGGAAGTAAAGTAGAATAAACAGATTTACAGGATCAGTGTGCTGTGGGTGAGGGTCTACTCAGGTTGCTTTAGACAAGAAGCTGACCTTGGTGTCCTGCTTGAGAGGTGAGTTCAGAGGTTCCAGGGCCAGGAATCAGGAGCTTGGATGAGCCTTAGACTTGGGAAGCATAAATGAAGAAGCAGTTGGAGGGGAGAGATCTTCAGCTTAAACAATCAGCAAGATTTGGGGAAGGGACAGGAGCCCACATCCTACGTTTTTACAACATCAAAAATGCTTCCATAGTCGCTTTCTCATTTGGGAAGTGGCTGAAAAGGCATTGCTTCCCACAAGGGGAAGCTGGACTGAGGGTAATGTTCTTAGGAAAAGATGAGCAAAGTTTAGAATTTCAGAGGTGGAAGTAATCTAAGAATTTAAGTCATTTAACTAACTGCTCGTAAAAAAATATTTTCTACAGCAATTGTGCTAGATAGCTATTCTGATGAACATTCCACATCAAGCACTTAAAAGTAATATGTATTCTATAGACTTGGGATGTTCTTTTTTTTTTTTTTGCCTTTTCAAATTGTTATTTTATCCATTTTTTTCTGTTAAAAAGAAAAGCATAATTACCACAAATCACAAAGGGCTAAAGCAGTGGTTCTCAGCCTTCCTAATGCCGTGAGCTTTTAATACAGTTCCTGCGAGTTGCAACCCACAGCTTGAGAACCGCTAGACTAAAGCAAGACCAGAATAATGAATGAGCCACTTAAGCCTGGAAAGCAGATATTCTCAATAATATTAATGTTATAACACAAGCTCATTCAAGTATTCTACATTTCCTTCTGTTTTGTTTTTGTCCTTTAAATGTGATATCCTAGCACATGGTAAGGATAACATACCATGAGCTGAAGGTGAAACCTTCTCTGAAAAGCCAGATGACAAGTTTTCCTTTCCAGTGAGAAATAAATTCTTATCTTCTGTGCCATCAACATGGCTGAAGGAGGAGAGGGTGGGGTCTAGTGAAAACCCAGGGATTGCCCCATACTGGAGATCCTTGGGATCCCATTCAGGAGGGTACCAGATGATCCAGATCACCATTCCCAGGTATCTGGCAACAAACGAACAAAAAACCTTCACCCTCCTAACTAGCTGTTTTCCTTACCTCTCTTCCCACTTCCAGGGCCTTCTAAGCAGGTTACTTTCTTTTTTTTTTTTGAGACAGAGCCTCAAGCTGTCCCCCTGGGCAGAGTGCCGTGCCACCACAGCTCACAGCAACCTCCAACTCCTGGGCTCAAGCAAGTCTCCTGCCTCTGCCTCCCAAGTAGCTGGGACCAGACCACAGGCGCCCGCCACAACACCCGGCTATTTTTTGGTTGCAGCCATCATTGTTGTTTGGCAGGCCTGGGCTGGATTCGAACCCGCCACATTAGGTGTATGTGGCTGGTGCCGTAGCCACTTGAGCCACAGGCGCCAGCCAGCAGGTTAGTTTCTTTTGTAAAAATCAAATGTCAGGAAAGAAGGAGAAAAGAACTATGATGGAATAGAACGAAAACATTTAACAGCTTTGACTTGGCAGCTTACACCTCTACCTGAGCCCCAGGCTAGGGCAGTGCAGGATGTCCCCTCTCTGCCAGTGTGCATTTGCTCACAGGCACAGGAGAAAGTGAAAGAGAAGCATGGCTGAGGCACACAGACCTGATGTTGGTGCTCAGCTGTTGTGTTGGCAGGGACAACCT